GCTGCCGCTGAGTCCCGGCCCGGTCCTGCTCTGCTCGTTGGGTTCTGTCCCCGGCTCCGGGCCTCGACCTCGTCGCGGGAGAAGCCCCTGGCCTCAGCGCCGGTCCCTGGGGCGGTGCTGGAGGTGGCTGCGTTGCCCTCAGCGGCTCAGTTTGGCGGTTTTGGAGCGCTGAGGACTGCCAGGAAAGTCCTGAAGCTGCACTGAGTGTGTGTGGCCCAACAGGTTACGTGACTGGTGGCAGAGGTAGATCGGAACCATCTTCTGCCTTTTTTTTCTTCCTAGTTTTTCTGTTTTATGCTCACTGCAACTGAATTCGTTAGAGCAGCTTGGGGGCAGTTGCTTGAGGTGTTGAGCACAGTTCCCTGTGTGTGTTTAGCACGGCATAGTCCTGTATCTGTGAGGTGGTACAGCGCTGGCTTTCTCGTGGGCATAACGTGCTTTTACCAATAAAGAAACTTTTCAGTGAAGTAACAGTGTTGTTAATGGGCCTCTAAGAACAGCTCAAAGTAGGCAGGTCACAGGGAAACTTAAGCTTTTGCAGTTTAGGATAGTGTAGAATTATTTGTCATAACATTATGGTAACACCCTTTCTTGAAGCCTGCTTTCCAAGCTACCAAGCAGATGTTCCCAACATAAGCTTGTGAGAGCAGAGCAGGAAATTTTGGTAAGGGGAAACCTGACATCTGTTCTCAAGTATGCTGGATGTGCCTCCTGAGGATAAACTGAGCAGAGAGTAACGCCCTGATCTCACTGTATAGCCTTTCTTATTCTTGGAAAAGCTCTTCATTAGCTCTTGTCAGGCAAAACACATTTGCTGTTCCAGTCCCTTACTTTGAGCATTTAAAATAAAACTTTTCTAGGCACCGTTGAATACTCACAGCCTGTTATTTTTGTTTTACCCAGGGGAGACTATCTACGATGCTGCAAATTCTGTTACCCGTTATGCGCTTTTGTTATTCTTGCTGCTTGTGTGGTAGCGTGCGTTGGCTTAGTCTGGATGCAGGTGGCTCTCAAGGAGGATCTGGATGCAATAAAGGAGAAATTTCGAACTAGTAAGTATAAATGCAAACTGTAACTGTGCAATTTCACGTTTCCTTTGGGCAGTATGAAGAGCTTTAGTTGCCCACCTGCTTATTGAAAGTCTGAAAGTACTGAGTAGACAAACTGCCCCTGAATTGAGGAGTCCTCCGAGCCAAAACCACTCAGAGGCCGGGTGAAACTAAAGCAAACATTATATATTCTTGCCTGCTATATATCTGCCGAGGAGCAGGGGGACACTGGACTAGGTGGGCCTGTAGTTGCTTTTACATACACTTCTAAAATTCTTGACTTTGGTCTTGGGAGCGCTCTCTTCCAAAGGAAACCACTACTAGAAAAGAAGTTCTGGTCAGCCCCATAAAGGCAGTGTGGGGGATTTTGATGCATCCTTTAAAAAAAACTAATGGAAATAATGTTTTTTTAAAAACCTCTAATTCTTGCTATGACGTTACTGCAATTTGAACGTTCCTTCAGTATTATGTCCTTTTCATGTGCTCTGAATGTTTATCTTGCTTGCATTGGCCTGTTCTTGTTCAGCTTTTATGTTGTATTGCATACAGTGTGGAGTTTCATCATTAATACTTTGAAATATGGAGTTAACGTGAAGCATTTGTCTTGTGGGTCTCAGGTTTTCCTTGTTTATGTGAGATTTCAATATTACAACTTCTGTAGTGCTGAGGTATAATAAATGGTGAGATTTGCATGTAATGTAGACTCTAAGATCTCTGTACCTCACCTCTGGACACAGGATATGTTTTGGTGCCTTATTTTAGTAGTGTTTAAAATCTTACATTAAAAAAGGCAAGGATAAGCTGAGGAGCTGTGTGAGTGGAGCAGAAGAGTGTGAAGCTTAAGCATTTACGTAGTCTCCAACTGCTTCAGGAAAGCTAGGTAGTTACATTTTGCCTGAGGAGCACCACTGTTGATTGTGGGTTTTGTCCAATAGCTTTGGTCCTCATCTTAAATTTTTGTAGCCAGGACATGAAAATGACCTTAAAAGTAAGGCTGTTGAAATAGTTTTGAAAATTAGGAGGCTGTTGGGGCTTGGAGGGAAGCAGAGAACTTGATTTGCTTGTGGTGAAAGAGGTGTTGAGGAAATGCAAGTAGAAGTTCTTTGCTGTTGGTGTTTAGGGCTTCCTGCTTGGGTGTGTAACTCTGCTGTGAGGTGGGGAGTTGTCTGCCGAGGTGAAACCTGCTGCATGGGAACAAGAAAAAGCATTGCTGATACCTCTGAAAGTTAGCTGTAACTGGCATCCAGCAGTCGTGGAGGTTACCTTCAGTTACAGGTGCTGCTTTGTGGCTGTGAGTGTACCACACAGCTCCTCAGTAGCCGTTGCTGTGTTTTGGGTAAGCTGAATGCTGCTCTTCACAGACTGGTCTGCTCTGAGTATGTGCTGGCACTAAAAGTTTTGCGTGATGACAGCATTTGTTGGCTTTGGTGTAGTTAAGTTTCATCGCTCCTGTTCTACATAGACCTCTTTGTTACAGCAGTTATCTCAGAGCTTACTGTCTGACAATTACAGATGTGCTTGTTTTCTCCTTAATAGCTGTGACGGAAAAGCCACACGTTTACTGGTTGGTCTAGTGATAAAATTGTCTCAGATTTCCTTGCTTTTGTAATAATGTGCTTAGAAGCTGCACGGAAGTCTCATACTGAGAGACAACATTAAAAGCAACAGCAAAAAACCAGGTCTTACTTAACCAAAAGTATTGTTTGCATCTTGAGCAATCAGTGCAGATTACTCTGTACCTAGAAATGACTTTTAGGACTTGTTTCAAGAAAAGTGAAGTGCACAGCCTTCCAGTTTTGTGTATTTGGGCATCCACTCCATGGGCACAAAACATTCCTGAAGGTTTCCCATTTTGATTGGATGGGTCATGCAAGAAGATTTGTTGGGGAGCTGCCAGCTGTGTACGACGTAGGTCCCACTGCTCTTGGTGGTTTGTGGCCTGAATGATGGTGGTTTGTTGTGGAGCATTCCAGTGCTGTGTTACAGGGTGGAGGTGCAGGTTTTGGAGAACTCTGTCATCCCCATCTTGAAACCTTTATTTGTTTCCCAGACCTAGAGATACAGGGTTGCCTAACAGCGCTCGCAGCTAAACAGCTTAGTCACTGCAGACCTGGAAGAGCTGCATTACTGAGGCTCGCTTGAATTGGTTTGAGCTGCATGTTTCCCTCTTCCTGCAGTATTAATTGCAGTAATAACTGACTTTATTTCCAAGGACCTTGTTTACTGATTTGTTTACCAACAGATGCTAGTGTGTAAGCCTATGCATTTTTTTCAGTTGTCTTTCTGTCACGTGGAACAGCTGTAATCACATTAATCTCTTTGGAATTCACTTCACTGTCAGCAGCCCCTTTGCAGGCTGGAAAAAGGCACTGAGGTTCATTTCCCGTGCCTCCTTTGCCCTGGTGCTGTTGGCAGTCCTTACAGTCCCATTACTATTTCATGTGCCTCTGCGAAAGTCGTGTAAAAGAACTGTGCTAAATAAAGACTTGCTGAGGCTTGCCAGAATGACGCTGCTATTGCAAAGTGTTAAATTTAGTGTGGTCTCTCTGCAGACATTGGTACTCTTAAAACAGAAGAGAGCTGTCATTTTGAACAAACACTTAATTCTGAATTGGCAATAAACCCGTATGTAGAAACTGTTATTGCCTGCTGCAGATGTTGCTGCTTGTGAGTTGTGTTCTGCCTTTAAACGCTGTTTACCTGGAGTTTTGAGGATTTTTACAACTTTCTTTTTTTAGTGGAATCTAATCAAAAGACATCATTCCAAGAAATTCCTAAACTGAATGAAGACTTGGTGCAGAAGCAAAAGCAACTAGAACAAATTGAGACTGGAGAACTGGGGCTTAATAAAATTTGGATAAATATCACAGAGCTTAATAAACAGGTGAGTGGGATCAGTGCTTGGTTTTGAAAAATAATAAATTATTCCATTCAAATTTATTTTTTCAGAACCTGCAATCAAGTGCAGTTAGCTTTTATCTAAGGACATTGGTGACCATATGCTAAGCTTCTACTTTTCAAGTTAAAATGGAGTATAAGCCACATCATTAAACAAGCAAAAAAAGTTTGAGCATCTAGTTGGAGACTGATTGCAAAGTAGAGAAATTATGCAACTTGTGGAAAGAGCTCAGGCAGAAATGAGAAGAACCTGAGAACTGTACAGCTCTTAATCTCCCTGCTGAATGATTGTGATGTTTGTGATGAGAGATTTGACACTTCAAATTTGAGTGTGTTTGCAGAAGTTTCATAAACGTGGAAAAGCGTTACCCAAATGGGTGCCTGTGAAGTGCTGGTGTCGCATGAATACAGAATCTGTTAATGCACGCTTGGAATCTGAGCGGCTGTAAATCTTAGCTCTGTTTACGCAACTACAAGTAAGCCACTTAACAGAAAGCTGTTTCCTCAGCTGCTCTATTAACTCACGCTTCAAACAAAGCATCCAGCAAGGCTCTTACTGAAATTCTTGTCTCAGAGGGTGAAAGTTCGGAGCTGCTCACAGTCAGTGGTATCAGGAGGTGTGTGGTGCACTCTCCCTGACACTGGTGCTTTGGGTTTAATCTTTGAAGTATTGAGGTGCCTGCTCAGAATGGCTTTTTCTCACTCCCTTGAAGTGGTTAAGTGCTTAATGGAGCACAGAAATATATTTGAAAATTTGGCTTGCTTTCTTTGGCATCTGACAGTATGCGTTATCCATAGATCCTTAGGTGCTTTATTAGACTTTTAAAATGCTATTATCTGCACCTGGACGTTGAAGATACTTACACATGATTCTTACAGGCCCTTGAGTAACTTTAGGGTCTTAGCCAGTTCTTCTGGGGATCACAATTTAGTCGCTGTTTGTTTTTTCCATGAATTGTTGGGATACGCTGCTAGGAATTATTTCAGCCAGTATTCACAGCTGTGGAACCAGAGACTATGCAGGCCAGTGGATCAAGGTTGGCCTCGTGTAAAATTAGAAACTCGCCAATTTCCTGGGATTGTGAAACAGCTTCTTTTAACCAGAAGACAGCGGGTTCTGTCCACTTCACTTCTGTGTTGTCAGATGCCAGGAAAACAAATAGTTTTGTTCGTTTTGACTGCTTATGGTTATGAGTTGATCTTACAGTGATAATGTTAGCAATTAATGACCAGCATGTAATTGTTTTTAATTTATTTGGCAACTTCTCAGTTGGAATAAATAAGTCATCGTGAAAACCTGTTGAAGACAGTTGACAGAAATTAAGCTTCTTGCTGTACCTCAGTTCCACTTCTGTACCAGGTTTGGGTGGTACCTGCAACTTCTCTGTGTGTTACTCAGAGAAAAGTTGTATGGCTTTGCTGGGTTTTGCCAGGCAGGTTTGATTGCTAAATACGTAAGCAGATGACTTTTTTTTTTCCCCACGTAAGTGCTTCTTGCACAATTTTTCGAATCTTTCTTGAGCAACAGGCTGTCTCTAAGGGGATGAATATAAAATGGACAGAGGGTACCTTGTTGAAAAGAAGGGGATTCTGTGGCTTTCATTCAGTCTGAGAAAACCTCCAAAAATCTTGCTTCTGTTGCAAGATGCAGAATATTTTTCATGTAGCCCAGGCAGGACTTCTAACCTAGACGGACATGTTTTGTGTGGATGTACGTACATTATTTTGTCTTGCCTTTTATTTTAGTGTTACAAATTAAGTCACCATTTTTTGAGAAGATCAGAATCAGGATCATGTTGGCTAATTCCAAATATTCCTCTTTGGTTTTAGATATCTCTATTGACCTCAACAGTAAATCATCTCAAAAACAACATAAAGTCTGCTGCTGATTTGATTTCTCTTCCTCTCACAGTAGAGAAACTTCAGAAGGCAAGTACTGAAAGTGTGGTTACTGCTGAACGTGTTCTGTGCTGCTCTGAGCTGCAGCTGGGTTCTTGGGAACAGTAGTGACAAGAGGAGTTACTCGAATTGCTTGTGAGAAACCCTTGCTTCTCTGTCTTGTTTTTAAACTGTGCTTCATTTACCTGATATTGTATGGTCCTGTGATAATGTATGGCAGAACAAAAATTGAAAGCCTTTGTTGTCCCTTTCTGGGGATGAGTTTGTTCACATTATGTTATCACTTCTTTATCTTGGATCTGGTCTGTCTGTCTGTTTTCTTCAGGTTGTTAGTATCATCTAAGACTCTTGCAAAAAGTCTGTCTGCAGTTTTACAGCTGTGGTTGCAAATAGGTGATCTGTGATTTCTGTCAATAGTGTCTTACTGTGTGGCTTAGCTGAGCATTCCCTATGAAAGAGCTGGCCTGTTTTGGTGAGAACCAGGGCTTGTTGAAGCTTCTCTGGCTGTTCCATGGCAGTCCTGTTATTTAGCAATCAACATTTATATTGGGATAACACCTAATGTCAGCTCAGTCATCTCTGTGGCTTTTATGGGTTTCCACTCCTCGTCATTTCGTATCCCAACAGAATTAATGTATAATCAACAAGCTAGCCATAGGCAAAGCAATTAGTGTGGTTTGGCTGATCAGACTGCTAGGATTTCTTTTTCTGGGAGGAGTACAAAGCTATTTCCTAAGCTTCTAATTTGCTGTTACAAGCTCAGTTTTCACTGTGTTATATCAGGAGTAAGTCTTAAGGTAGTTCCTAGAGTCCAGAACCTGCACCTACTTTATATAATACGTAAAACCTTGGTGTCATCTTGCTGCCTTCAGTACTGTCTGGACAAAGTATTGGGGCCAACAGGTTTCAACTTGCAGTGATCTGCTAAGCAGCAAGCCTTTTGCATGTTGGAGTAAGTCCATCCTTGGTCACGCTTTGTGAAAATCAAAGATCTGGAGTCCTTTCAGGCTGTGCTGTTGATTCTAAGTAAGGTGTTAGATGTGGAATCTGTTTCCACTGCTCTCTTGATGCCATCTTGCTCTCATTTATGTTTTGGAAGGTTGATAAAATAAAACCAGAGCTGGAAACCTTCCAGGAGTTATATTGTGAGGTATTGAGTGTAGGAAAACGATTGAGGTTTAAATACAATACTTTTTTAATGGTTTATACGTGTCATGTCAATGAAAAACAGTACGTTTCAAGACTTGGACTTCTTTTTGACCTCTAACTGCATGCTGCACTACTTCCTGTAACACAGAACAACTTCAGTGGGTGTAGGTGGGTAGCTAGAGGGTTGTTTCAGTGCCTTAAGAGCTTATGAGCATAACAGGGTCATAGAAAAAGGGGATTTTTAGATGGGTTCTGTTTGTTCTAACGACTGAAGAAAGTATTAAAAATAGAATGAGAAGCGTAGGGGCGTGCTCTGTCTGTTACTGTAACTTGCACTGGTGTTTGTGGATCTCCTAGCTGACAGTCTGTTTCCAAGTGTTGTGCTGTCAGCTGCTGAAACACCCGCACAACTTTACAGAATAGTTACTTTTTGAAGTTACAGCCGGGCTTGGGGGAGTTCACGTAGGTGAAGACAAGGGAAGGATGAGACGGGAGTAGTCAGAAGCAGACATAGCTGTCACAGCATTCTGTACCTGTAGAATTCACAGGGTCTTTCCTAATGCTTCAGAACAATTATTTCATTTTAAAATAGGCAATACTTGAAAATCTAATCTACAACCTTTGGCAGAATAGTTCTGCGGTGTATGGTGTGTCTGATGGGTAGCCTTGAAAGACCAGGCAGGACAAATTGGTGGTGTCAGCATCCTTATATTCAATACAAATACTCCATGTAGAGAGGAGGTTAGATGTCTTCACATCAGAATTTCTTTAAATTAATGCTGAGACATTTGTATTGTTTTGGGAGTGGGAGTAGCAACCTCAAAATTTTGGTTATCTAGCTTAAACTCTCATGGTGTAGAATCTGTCACTGTTTATTGGCCTGGAGGTGCAATGGGTGTAATTTGTGGTTTTGTCTGCAAAGGAAGTTCCAAGTGCTCCGAACTCGCGTGTGTATTTTTGTGGCAGTCCACGTGCACTTTTACTGGCAAAACACTGTTTGGCAGATTTGAAACTTTGGAACAGCACAGTTGAGGAAGGCTGAAATTTTTGTCTACTTCTTTCTTCCAGACTGTGGCAAACATAGGTAGCACCCTTACCAGTGTTTCTCATGATGTTGAAAATATCCAGACAGCTATTGAAGAATACAAGAAATCCATAGAAATACTCCAGAATGATGTGGTAAGAAAAGGCACTGATTTAACACTGTTTTAAGTAGTTACCTGCCTCACATGAAGCAAGTTTCAGAACCGTGCAGAGTTTTGCCTTATGACTTCGAAATACTTGTGAAGTTTTAGTTGGTGCTGGTTGGTACATTAATACACTGCTAATCTCATAAGCCCTGTGTGGCATCTCTTGTATGGTATCAAATACGTGCTTTTCTGTAGCCAGGATTGTTGGTTGCTTCTGTATTTCCTATCCTGCAGAGTTTTGCTTCCTGCTACACAGATGTGGAGCCTTTAGAATCTCTGCTTCTGTGTGATGCAGGTTACTACTTATGGTAACTGTCTGCACTGTTTTTGAAACTGGGGATGGTGGAAGTTTGTTGATTGAGTTCCGGATGAATATAAGGATGAAATTACTGACCATCTTTACCACAAACTACTCACTGTACTTATGCTGACCTCTCACCTGGGCTTCACTGAGTTAATAAATAGTTTGCCAGCTAAACTGTAATACAGCATTACTTTAAGAATATTTGCAGATAAAATCTAAATTAGACTCATTATAAGACTTAATTCAGTCAGTGGATGCTATGGAAACATTGCAGATATGCCAGTGAAATGTGTACTGCAATATGTCATTAAAGGGAGAAGATGTAATTTTGGGGGCTTAATTAAAATTAATTTGCACCGTATGTGTTTGAAAGAGAGAACTTCCTTAGCTACAGCCTGCCAGTACTGTAGCTTAGTATTGTTTTTACGGATGTTTAGTAACATAATTTTCTACTTCTTTCCTTAGAAGGAGTTAAAACAGATGCCTTCACTTCCCCCCACTGTTGTGCCAAGGACTGAGAGAAATCAGACAGAAAGTTGCAGACAGGTATTTTTCTCCCTTGCATATGGATTATTGGTACCAGTATCACTGATACTGGACTTTTTTGTGTTTTGCTGTAGTGTAATGTACAAATAAGTATGTTTTTATCAAGACAATGTAGATAGCATCCTTCAAAATGAAAGACAAGATAATTCAGCTGTAGTTTGTTTCTGTTCATATGCAAACAGAAAAGTATTCTAGGCCAAGACTTTTTTTCTGTTCTAACTGGATGAGGAGCAAAATGACTGGAACTAATATAACACAAATTATAGGTGTACTTTGCTCATGTAAATGGAAATGAGTTAGTCTTTTATCAAATGGATTTTATGGCCGGTACTTGCCAGTGTGAGCAAACTTGGGAGTGGCATCTGTTGAGCCACCCTCAATGTAATGAGATGTGGAAAGCAGGGATTCAACAGCAAAAAAAAAAATCAAAAAAAGATACTGTGTGAATGTTTAAGGTAATGATGTGGAATGGAATGACTGTTTATTTACATCTAATGCAGTCGATGTCTTCCTCAAAAACAAATCTTGTATATAAATACGCCTAGTACATGCTTTCTTGGGAAACATGGTTGGTGTGGTTACTAAGCTTGCCCTGGAAAACTAGATGAATAGGCTTTCTGTGTTTGCTGGCACAGCTGAAGTGATTACGTTAGCAACAAAGGTTAGCCCTGAGAAAGAATTTCAGTTTCAAACTTTGAAAGCTGCAATAACTTTCTGGAAGCTTCCAGTTGGGTGTTGATGGAGAGCCAGTTTAAAGTCTGCCTGATGAAACTGGGTCACTCACCATGTTGTTAATAGCAAGAGTGCTGCAGAGGCTGAATAAACTGACATGTTCTGGTTTTATATTTCAGGAAAGCCAGTCACTGCATGCAGCTTTGGAGGAGCTAAATAATACTGTAGTGGTCTACCAAAAGTTGAATGACATCAAGGTTCTAAACGTGGAGTCAGCCATTGGCAGCCTTAGCCGGAGGGTTATGCTGTTAGAAAACTCTCCCCTTGTTGTGAATAATCTGGACAAAAGAGAGAACTTGTCTTTCAATATGGTAAGTATTTGATGACTGAGTGTCTGCCTGGGCTAGTGGTGTCAATAATTTCTGTATGCTACAGATACAGCTTTTCAAACCTAACTAAAGAAAATGTCAGACTGAAACTTGAAATGCTTAGGATTTAATTATAAAAGGCTGGAATTTGTTCTGTATTTCTAAAAAGTTGACCAACATTAAGAGTATCTTTGAAGTTGTCACTTCTTCCCTGCAGAATGTACAGAAAAATGTTCCAAACACTGATGTTTAAGACCTGGGTAATTGCTTAATGGGCTGGGATTCACAAACCTCTTCAACCGTGTTTTAAGAAGGCACTCTGGCATGGATCCGTTAAGAACACTGAGGGAGCTAGGTGTGCTAAACACTAAACATGTTCGTAAATACTTCCAGTGCTTTCTGTGTACCATATTGGGGCCAATCCCCGAGAACATGTTCTGTATGTTTAGCAATAAGGAACATGCTGATGTTGCTGTGGTAAATTGCATAACCCACTGTCTCTGTTTATTCTAGTGCATATTTGTCCTGTTTTTGCTGCTTCATGCCTGCCAGGTTTGGAGGAAAGAAACTCCATTGTAGGAAATAATAAGCACGTGAATAAACTTGGCTCTCCTCCATTTTTCCTGTAGGGGAATGATGCAACTACCTCTCTAAAAGTGGAAAATGAAGATCAATTAAATAATGAAACTCATTCAAATAAAGAACTGAAGGTAAAGTAAGGAAACAAATTACACTAGATTAGTAGAGCATGTCATGGTCTTTGTAATTGTGTTTTAAATGAGACTTAAGTGAGGAAAGATCTGCAAGCAGGCTTATCTGATAAATTTACTTTAAAAATTCGGAGTAGAAGGACAGTTTATCCACCCCATTTCAGGGACAGAGACTCAATTAGGATGGAAGAAAAGTTGTAGTGTAAAGTCTTGCCATTAGAGAAACTTTGCACTAGTGGAGTCTAGGGATTGATGAAAGCTGCTTCTCAGTAGTGATCTGAGGACTGGCTGCGAGCAAGTTGAACAGACTAGCTGAATGGCCAACTTAGGGGCTGGGGCTGAGGTGAGCTTCCATCTCCTGGAAAGAAGGCAGATGAATGAACTGGCTGTTCTGGTCTTGGATTGATGGGAACTCAACTTGTCATCGGGAACCTCCTCATAAAAGGAACAGAGGAAGTCCAGATTAAAAAATGTGGTGGTTTTACTTTGACAGAAGGTAGTCAGTACAGTAGACAAACATTTAGAACAATTATGCAGTTCAGTTGATGTATAAATGTTCGCTCCAAGCATGTTTGACCCTTGTTATGATTTTTCAGAGACTTGCGTATTTATATAAGAAATACAGAAACTAAGTGTCAGCTTCTTTTGAAATTGGTGTCTGCAAAATAGTTGCCTACTTTTCAGGTGGAGGTACTGATTCTGTTGTTTTCTTACAGACCATGTGAATTTATTCCTTACGTCTTTACATAGGTTGTTTTTTAATTTTTTAAGTCTTGTTTATAATTTTAAACTTGATCAGCCTGGAGACCTTCAAGTCGCTCCAGAGTACTTGCATATGTTACTTCTTTTCCTGATCTTCTCCATCTACAGAAGGAGTACTTTATAAGAATTTTTTTCTTTTTACATATGCAGGAAACAGGAACTAGAGATACTCAGGTATTAAAACTAAGAGAGAAGCTTCAGCTGATCAGTGCTCTCACAGGCAAGCCAGAATATGACCTTGAGACATCAAAGAATGGTGAGAATGTCATGTAATACTAATCCATAGACCTGAAACTTCGCGTGTAGTTCAAAGAATAACGAATGTGGATTATTTAGACTGTTCCTTAAGATTGTTACTGAAGATAATTTCAGTTAAAGTGGTAGAAAGCTGATGGCTCTAAACCAGAAAGCTGTATATGCCCATGAAAGTTTGAAGGTGACTTTCCTGTATAGCAGGATTCACATGCATCAATAGCTTGTATTTGAAGGCATGCAGTGATTAACTTGTAGAAATTTATACTCAGTAACATCTATTTTTGCTTTTTGAAATCTAAGTGTGACACAGAGGAAAGGTCTGTGTCTGGGCTGACTCATCTCAGTTCTGCTGTATATATTAGATAGTGCTGAAGATTTAAAATACCTCATTACAGTAGAACTGTGCTTGTTGCTACTTTGCTAAGCAGCAACTTGGAAGTTTAGAGGCTGCTGTTGGGGAAGACAGATACCTGCATTGACAAGGTGAAAACAACCCAGGTGGGCAGATGTAATTTGCTTAATAAAGCTTGTTCAGCACTTTCAGGCTGGGAAGTAGAAAGCACTTGTATGGGGTTATTCTTTGTATGGGGTTTACAAATATACATCTCCTAGTACAGCGTGAAGGATTCAAGCTGTATAACTGTCCAGAAAAGATTTATTCCTTCTGTTCCTCCAGTTATTGGTAAAAGGGGAAAACACTGCTGTATTCTGAAACGATTTTGCAGCATTCTTATACAGAGCATCTGTAATGCATAAAAAGCTTTATTGTTTAGGGTTTTTTTGGTGCGTTGTTGTTGTTGTTTTTGCTAGTTGCAATTCTGTGGAATTAGTAAGACTAATAGAAATTGTTTTATAACAGTTGAAAGTAGTTCGAGTACTACAGCAAAGCCCACAGACCTTTCAAGGCTGGCTTCAAGGTCAGCTGATGACAACACGGAGAGTAATGGGCAGCTGAGACATCTGTCCTTACCAGGAATTTCCAGCATCAAAGGTATGTCCTTTCTAGGCTGACCTTATCTTTTCCTGACTATTCCATGTAAATGTTTAGGAGATGAATATAACTGTAATTATGGTAATGTATCCAGGCATTCTGGGAGAAGTGAGGTCAATCTTAAAAGCTTGAGAGCTACAGACTTTAAAAAAAATAGTAGTGAAAAAAACCCACAACCTAAAAGAAGTGAATAGCATGTGAAAGAAAAACTGAGATTTAAACAGGGGTGTGCGTTATAAAGGAATTATAATTGAGTGTCCAAGTACTATACCCAGTGCCCCAGAGACTGGGAGAGAAGTCAAGGGCAGAATTAGGATGCTGAAGGAAAATGAAGTAGGTGTGAGTGTGTACTCTTTGAGGTTTTTTCTTTAATAGAACACTGCCTGGTCAAATGAATGGTTTCTGGATCTTGCTGTTCAGTCTCTTCAGCTACTGAAAGGAGAATGCTTTGCATCAGGAAATGAATGGACACTTTTCCCTTTATATCATCTGTGCTGTTGGTATAGCAACAGTTCTTCAGAGCCTGCTTTTGTGGAGGATAACTGCATCTGTATGCAGTTAGTGATTGTAGAATGGGCTATTAGTCTTGGTCAGGAATAGGGAAAATTGTTTTCAGGTATAATGTAACTTGATCCAGAAATACTAATTTTTTTTCTCATAAACAGTTCCTGACAGCTTGTGACAATGCGGAAGGAGAACAACACACTTGGGGATGCTTTATTTAATTACTAGGTAGTAAGACATAATGCAGTAAAACTGGAAGAGCAGCTTACAGGCTATTCCTTTGTAGTTAAAGCAGCTACTTTTAAATCCTTGTTCTCTTTGCAGATCTTCAGGATTTGTTTGAAAAAGCCACTGAAGATGCTGATGGAAAACTGTCATATGAAGATCTTCAAAAGCTGCTTGGCTTTACTGCCCAAGAGTCACAGAGCTTTAAGAAATTTGACACAGATGGAGACGAGAAATTCTCATTGCAAGAACTGAGATTAGCTTTAGATGTATAGGACATATTTAGAAATGTGATACTGCTGGATGCTGCTGTAGTGAAAGGAAACTACGGGACATGAAAAACTACATCTGCACTTTCCTGGTGTTTTACTGATCTTCGAAGCTAAATTGCTGTACACGTGGCCACCTCTTTTTTTCATTTGCATTTATTGAAAATAAATTTACAAATTTATATGTCGATATGACATAATATTGGGACTGTGTTAAAATCCAGAAAATTCCCAAACTTGGAAACATTTTCCTCTCATTCTTTCCTTTTCAAGGGAGTTTTGTTTTTAATTTAAAATGTGTACATACTAAAATAAAAATATGGTTTTATATTTCACTGAAATTTGCCTTAAATTAGAGAGCTGCACTTTATGTAGAGCAGAAAGAAATCTGTCTTGTAAAGATGGGCTTTTTCTGCTTGTAAATATTTGAGATAGGGTAAATTATGCATATTTAAGGAGAAGATTGTGTCAGGGGCTGTGTTGGTAGTAAGCTCTTTATAATGAGACTGAGCCTAAAAGGGGTGGTTAAGAGCTCCAGCTAGATTTCTGACTTTGGCTATATCCATGAGTGAGTTTGGACTTGGAGGAAAGCAGGAGTGGTAAATCATGCCCATCTATAGCAGGATTTATTTTTAGAGGGAAGAGTTGAAAGTGTTTTTATATCATGAGCCTACAGGGGCAATTACCTATCAAATGCTTGGGTTGTCACTTCAGCATTCTTTTAGCTTTGCTGTTTTGCATCCAGATTACATTTAGTGAGATGAGCCTATCTGGTTTTGTTTTCGTTTTTGGTGGGGTTTTTTTTTTAAAGCTATTTGATAACTTTAACAGATGCTTCAGAGGTGAAAGTCTACAATAGGGCCTGCTGAGTAGCACCAGAGTAGTTCATGCCTTGGGTACCATCAGTGATGTGCTGATGGTCTGGCTGACCAGTCACTGGAGATCTTTTGAACAAGGTTACTGCTGCTGCTTGTTTCTTCCTTCCACTGTTGCTGGGGTCACTGAGGTGTCCCCAGTAAAGCTCCTGGTCACTGGGAGCGTGAGCAGGTGGGGCAGGCCCGGAGCGGACTTGTGGGCTGTTTCCTGGTTTATGTGAACGTGGTCACTTGTTGGTACCTTTACTTTCTGTGTTCTTGCTAATGGCAGAATATAAAAAGCAGGATAGGAGTGTGCAGTCACAGTGGCATTCTCTCCTGATGGGAGCCTTGTAAGTGAGGTTTCCTTACTATAGAGGAACTGAAGGGTTGGTTTATGCTGGTGGGTCCAAACAGAGCCGTGTTTATAACCTTCTGGAGTGTAGAAAGTGACTTGTGCAGAAGGGGTTCTTTGCCGGCTAGATCAAGGCCAAGTGGGATGATTAACTCACAAATGTTGCTGATGTTGTTAGGAGTTTTTTGTATAATTAATGAATTGAAGTTGCCCACCTTGCTGAAACACCAGTTTATGTGGAAGTTGGTTCATAATAGTTGACTTTTTATATAACTTTAGACTGGATGTTTTCTGGATAACTGTATTCTGGAAGTATGAATTGGTGAAGCAATGTACAGAACTGAACCTTGTTACCCATTGCCCAGGCTTCTTTCCTGTTGCTCTTCTGTCCTGTTTGGGTAGTGTAGATGTGACCCAGTACAGAAATGCTTTCGATTGATGTTTGAAAACATAGTATTTAAAAACAAAACAAAACCAAACCAACCAACCTTGGCTTTTGACAGGACAAGAAGCCAACACGTGCTTCTTGCCGCTTCCCATGCCCTTTTATATACTACTGTGTAATTCCTCAACCAAACGAAAAAAAAGCTAGCAATAAAATGTAACCATTCTGGTATTTTATTTGTACATACTGTATCATAGCCATATGCCAGAGTTTGCAAAATATTTTTGGAAGTTTGATTTGTACGGAACTTAACTTACCTTAAAATTTAAGGGATTATCGTATTGCTACATGGATCTACTGGTGTTTTGTTTTGTTGCAGTCTGCTTTACTTTTAGAAGGCTCTTCAGCAGCAGTAGTGAGAGTGTCAGCCCGAGACATTGTGTGCTGCTCCAGCTGCCTGTGTCCTCTGCCTGTGGTCAGTAATTGGCACTGGGGCACAGCTGCCCAGTGGTACTGCTTGATATGCATGTCAGGAGCATAGCTGGTCGCTAATTGCTGTAGTCACTGCTGTTGTAGGGTGGACTTGTGTTGTAAATTTAACAAAATGTGATCATCCCTGAGGTACAGTGGTTGCTCTGTTTGGCCTAGGGTGGCTGGTAATGGTGTACTGCAGGCTGGGAGCGCTGGTCCCCAACCAGCTGCTCTGAGTCTTGCGAGCTTTCTGCTGTGCTGCTGGTCTCCATCCCATGTGCTTTCCAAAGCGTGTTTTATTCTCACTGCAGAGCATAGGGGTCATAAAAGCCATAGCAAATACTTTTGTCTGGATCTGCTCTCTGCTGTAGCTCATACCTACAGACCGTGGCTTTCCAGGGGGCTGGTTGAAAGCCAGCCTGAGGTCGTTGCATGCTTTTTCGGGTGGTGAGTTCAGAGGAAAAAAAGTGATGTTTGGAGTCGGAAGAAACAGAGTGGGAATGAAACAGCGAGCGTGATGGGTCTGGGCTGCAGCGGGAACAGTGATGCACTGCTGAGGCTTGCTGCTATGCTGTGACTCTTGGGTTCATTTTTCAGGCTGTATTTGTGTTTTTTGGGTGTTTCCTGTGTGGGAACCACTGTGTGTGTTTCAGCTGTTAGTGACCTGTACGAGGAGCGGACCCGCACCGTGCTGGGCGTGCATCGTGCTTCTCTGCTCCGCTGGGTTTGAGCTATGGCACTCCCTGCCTTTTACCATGTAACGCGGCTTTTTAATTTATCGAAATAAACGCTCGTTTTCAGCGTGCGGCTCCGGGCGTTTCATTCCGGAGGCGGAACGGCGGGGCGGGG